TCTCCAGCCGTGGCTGGCAGTCCAAACTTCATTCTTTCTTGTTCGCTCTGCCTCCTATTATTAAATGATAATAATGGGAAGCTGGGAAACTCCTTTTCTGAAGCTGACTCCATCACTGCTTGACTTCCTTCAGGTATCACCTTCTTCTTTCCCCTATCCTTTTCTTCTTCTAGTAGTGGAAACAAAGAAATGATTGGCTCACTTCTTATAACAACTGGACTCATTCCACTTCCTTGAGCACCCTTTGGAGTAGAGAACTCCAAATCCAGCCTCCTTTGTAGATTTCCTGTAAGCATGCAGAGTCTGCTTACTTCTCCCTTAGTCTCCAAGGAAATTCTTTCCATGCTTTTCAACACTTGGATCATTGTAGCTTGCAGTTCTTCATTAATCCCTTCCCCCTGTGATTTCTCAGATGCAGTCGAACTACCTGAGACCACCTGTCCGGATGGGGATAAAGGATTTTCTGATTGTTCTGTCATCTGGAAAAGATCCTTCTTGGCTTCTTTTTTGGCAAGTTTATAGCTTCTCTTTTTTGGACATGTAAGATCTTAGAAGTGTAGCTGTTTCTTATCCCACCGGGCGTGCCAAAACTATGTTCGTCGCAGGAATCTCCTGGCGGACGAGCACACAGCTCCCCTGGAAGAATGGCGTCGGTTGAGGGTATCTATCGTACTTCTGCTTTCTTCTCGGACTTGCTCGGGCAAGCCTTTGTCGGGCAGATCTTGGTCGGGCAAGACACACTTCGGGCAAGGCTCGTCGGGCAGTTCTGAAAGAGAAGGACATAGTTAATTTGAAAGGGTGCCTTTGTGGGGCCTTAGGTGTAGGCCTTAAGGCTCACAATCAAGATTAACTTTGTCGTGCTCAGGCGTGCCACTGCCATCTTTAGTATGGCAGATGTTGAATGGGTGTTAAGCTTTGATTGATTGAATATGTATACGCCCGAGAAACCAAGTTAGATATAACAGGTGCCTTTGTGGGGCCTTAGGTATAGGCCTTGAGGCTTCCTGTCAACCTAAACCAGCGCTTGGATGTATCATATTTGGTCTTTTATGGTTGCCAGAGTCTTATCACTATTATACCTTTGATTATCTGAATCCAAGAGGTAGGACGAACCCAAATGAGTGCCTTTGTAGGGCCTTAGGTATAGGCCTTGAGGCTTCCCATCAGAGTTAATCCTTATACTCGGACCAACTAGACCGCAACATGAAATGAAGCTAAATAGATGCCTTCGTGGGGCCTTAGGTGTAGGCCTTGAGGCTTTCTATCAGAGTTCACTCCGTGCTTAAGCCTTTTCTACGAATCAAGATATAATAGCAACAAAACGGAGAAATAGATTGATTACTTGCGCCCCAAGTAACTTCGGACTTCTCGCTTATCAAGGATTGTCGTGGATGGGTTGAGTCCACATAGAGTTCTTTTTTATGCCTTGAGGCCAAGGACTTTACTGATCTTTAAATTACATGCCCGCGGGCTTAAGACTTAGATCTGATTTGAACTCTGACGCGATTCAGATCGGATTCAAGTGCTGAAGACTCATTTTCATTATGACTTTGCTAGAAATAACTTGTATATAACTGGGAATATATAACATGTTATTGTGCTTTTAAAAGAAAGAAAAGACAAAGACAGAGCAAAGATAGTCGGGTAAGTTTGAACCTTATCGGCCAAGGCTGAACTTCTTACAAAATCTATCTTTGTGGCTCTGTCAGAGGTCTAAAAGCTTTTAGAGGGGTTGACGGGGGAGAAGAGGATACAAAATGAATCGATACCACCATGAACAAGGTAGCAGAGCTATTACAGGGGTTTGGGAAGGTTTATCCCGAATGGGATGAAGGCTTGTGCTGACTACAGCTTCGTTGAAGGCAAATCTGGCTTGAGCAGAGTTTTGGCTTTTGTTTGTTTGTTTGAGTGTCCTTAATTCTGTCTTCTCTTCCTCCTTTTATAGACGACTTCAGCTTGGGTTCCTGTAGCAATAGCGGTGCCCGAATGCGGTTTGGTGATGACTCACTAGCTTTTTTACATGAATGCCACCAATAAAGTACTTTATTGGGCTATGTAGTGACTGAATAGCCTACCCCCTGTGGTCTTTGAGCAGGTAAGCAGGTGGCCTTTGTAACTTGTGCCCAGCCGAAAGCCTCTTTCCTGCCTCCTAAGTTTTCCTCTGGGCCTTGGGTTTGGGCCAACTTTCTCTCTGGCCCAAAGTTCAGATTTTATCCCAAACAGTTGGATTAACTTACCGAGTTGCCAGGGCTGTATCTGGTCATATTGACATGGTTTACGACCTGCTTCAATACAGCAAGAGCATCTTGTTTGTTGGAAGGTAAAGTTATCTGATTCTTGTTAAAACGGTCTTCCCTGGTGTAAACATAGTAACTGGATGTGACTTGTTTCTAAAGCTCTAAGTAGTTGAAAAACAATAAAAGAGAGCTCTGTTAGGTTTGTGCTCCCTGGTGAAGTGTGTGGTTCAGTAAAAAAGAAACAAGAAGGGTGGATGTATCGCAAATATTGGTGTTAACAATGAACATCACTGTGACTCACTAAGAATAACTTATTGATTGATACGGAATTTCCAAAAGGCACATCTGTTTTGGGAGAGATTGCTCGTGTCATGTCAGATGAATTTCACAAAAGAGTGGTACGTGAAGTTTTTTTTTCCTTTCATATAGTGCCAACTTCCTCCCTCCCTCCCTCTCTCTCTCTCTCTCTCTCTCTCTCTCTCTCTCTCTCTCATGTTATATAAGTGTTTGCATTTGTATTCATATTTTCATTACATGATTCAAAGAACACTAACACTACTGGACAGGTAATTGTTGATACAAGCAAGAAATAGGAGGGGGTGGAAATATTCCACATGAAGCAATAGGAGGGGCACGGAGAAAGCTGGTCACAGAACCATCCATGCAACACAAAGTTATGAAAGAGGCAGTTGAAAACCACATGCCTGTAGTGGTCATTGTCGATGAGATTGGCACGGAATCTGAAGCTCTTGCTTGTCGCTTGATTGCTGAGAGAGGAGTCATGCTTATTGCTACTGCTCATGGGCAAAAGCTTGAGAATATAATAAAGAATTCTACCCTAACTTATCTGGTTTGTTCTGGTCTCTATAAAAAAAGGGTTGTGATATCCGCACACCCCATTTTACTTCTCACACACCCTTCTAATTTTCGGCCGTTGGATCGGATTAATTGAAGAAGATCAACGGACAAAAATTAACAAGGGGTGTGTGAGAAGTAATTTGGGGTGTGTGGATAGCACACCCCTAAAAAAATTTACGTGGAATTATTTTTGCTTGAGGTCCTCTTTACATATGAGACATAATTTTTGAGTCTGGACTGTCTTCCTGTTATTGCATATTGTATTGCCCTAGATAATATCAGATGAAGATCAAAATCCTTAAAGACAAATAAAGTAGGTTAATAAGGGAAGCTGGTCCACATGGTTAATGCACTAATTTTCCATATTTGGTTATTGGTATGGATGACACACCCCGCCCTGATTTAGGAGGAAGCCACCTGGGAGACAGAGGACCGAATGAGAGAGATGTATCCAATGTTGTTTTATGATTATTAGTGAATTGTATTTATTGTGTGAATTTCGAGGATGAAATTTTCTTAGGGGGTAGGTTCTGACAAATTTCACAAATGTAGGATCACCTTTGGGTGTTGTATAATTAGTACTTGTCCTGCCGGACTGCAGTTAGGCTACTTATGCTCTGGTTGTGTATTTCACACTTAATCTCGCACTAGCACTTTTTCTTAGCTAGTACTGCTAGTAGCTTGGTTTTTATTTACTTGTATTTTTCTATATAAATAGTGCTTCCGCATTGTGCACATGGTTACGTCACTCTCACATGACAGCCATCACGTCCTGATTTAGGTCGGGGTGTGTCAATGGAAGTTCGTAGTAATTTGTAATTCAGAAGGCTAACATTTTTGTTTTGTTTTATTCCAGGAAGCTCTGATTTGTTCCAGGATGCTAATATTACAAAATTTGCACAAAAATAGCATCATGTTGAAAATTATGTTGTACATCAAGTACTTTCTTTTCTTTGCTTATTTGAGTACTCCTTTCAAGTTCATAATCAATGATCTATCAAGAAGAAAGATGATCTCTTGAGGCATAGAAGAATGATAGGCTAGGGAAACCAATGTGGGAAGCCAATTAGGATATAATGAATATGTCGATGGTTTTGGGGGACTTAATTTATGCTCCCCTCCTTGTTAATATGTTAGAGATATCAACAACTCCCATTGGACAAAAAGTTCTCTCTACGTGATAATGGAACTTCTAATAGAAAAACTTTAGAGCTCTCAACATGGCTTCATCATTTTACGTTGATGCCTTGCAGGAAAATGTTTAGGTATCACTACTAGAATTATGCTCATTGCACACCCTTTGCAATTGGTGGTCATAGATATAAAGTTGCTGCTCTTTTTTTTTTTTGGTGGCTTTACAGTGGAATGCCGCTGATATCGGTGGCCTTCAACATTGAGCCACCAATAATTGGTGTCTGTTAAATAGCTTTATTTCTTAAAAATACTTTTTGGTGCATTTGTGATTAACTGGGCACCAATACAATTTATTGAACACCAATAAAACAAATAAAAAAACCATTAAACCTCTCTCCCTTTCATTCCCTCCACTCGTTTCCCCCTTCATTCTCTCTATCTTCCCTCCCGTATCGTCTCTCTCCCTCTTCTCTTTCTGCAGCAGTGACTCCGTCCTCCGGTCACCAACGAGCATCAAACTATACCTCCAAAATCCTCTTCCCTTCCTCTTTCCATGTCACATCCCAGCCCGGGGTCCACCACATCCAGGGCCCGCTCCACCACCGTAGCATGATATTATCCGCTTTGGGCCCCGACTACGCCCTCACGGTTTTGTTTCTGGGAACTCACACGAGAACTTCCCAGTGGGTCACCCATCCTGGAATTGCTCTCGGGTGAACTCGCTTAACTTCGGAGTTCCGATGGAACCCAAAGCCAGTGCGCTCCCAAAAAACCTCGTGCTAGGTAGATATGGGAATATACTTACATGATCCACTCCCCTGGGCGATGTGGGATGTTACATTCCAACCCTCAAGTTAGTTTCTCCAAATTTATAGCCGAATTTTCTTAATTTCAGATCTAAGAAACGGTGACCATGGGTATTCTGGCCAATATCCGGCGAAGTCTGCCTAAATTGGACCTCAACCAAGAGGTAAAAATGATCCCTTCTCTCTTTTACCCCTTGTTATTCTCCAACTACTCAGGAGAGTCCTAACAACAACATTCGTGCTTTGCATGCTCAAATCTACCCCTCGATCTAAGAGTTCAATAAGCCCAACATGCGAGTGGGTTTTTCCGATGAAGATGCGAGTTTCTTCCGGCCAATTTCAGGCATTTCCAACCTTTTTTTGGTCTGGTGAAGGTAATAGGCATTCAACAGATTTTTTTTACTTACTTTCAAAATTATTTTAAGTAGTTTTTGTATCTGTGAATTCTTGATTCAAATGTTATATCTCATCTGCATATTGAGATTTCCTGAGATAAAGTTTCCACACTACACAATGTTGATATAGGACTAGAGATCAGCACGTACTAAACCATCTAATTTGTCTGATGGACCGCCATAGCTATTGGCCAGAATGTTTAAAATGGAGCCATGTAATATATACGACAAACAGGGGAAGAGAACAAAGCTCCAGATCAAGTTTTAAAAGATCACTTCAATTTGTTAGGTATTTGCATATAATGGCTACACACACACACATATTCGATCATGTGGACCAAATTAGAATGGGTTACTAATCTGTGGTGAACTGGATACATTCATTGTATGCAATAATTTTTTTATTCAAATGATATAAAGAAATTAATGAATGCCTTTTAGATCGAAGTTCAAATTTTGTAGATTCTTTTTTTTTTTCGATAAGATAATGTTCTATAGACTTATGTAGTTCGACAGATGCATATTTTGCAAATGATGAATCTAGAACACATGAAAAATCTACCATACCGCAGTGCATATAGGTGCTTTTCCTGGATGGATAGTCACAATTTATGAATCAACTGGTATATGATAATTATACCCATGATCTTCCCAGAGTGTTTTAAGTTATACTAAATTGTTTCTTACGTTAATTATTATGCAGCAAAGTCGTCTTTTCACTGTGCAGCCACTAGCAACTGGTTACAGAGCTTCCTGTGAGTTAAAGTTTCTTTAACTTTTGATTGAAAATTTTTATGGTGTTTTTTTATCATTTTTGTTATCTCTGCAGCTGTTTTGAATTTTTTTTTTACGATTTTTATCCGATGTTTATATGTGTAGGCACTCAAATTAGAGTTTTTTGTTTTTATTTTGAAGTAGGAAAATGATGGAAAAATAGGACTCCTGTAAGATTTTGGTTTTTTGTGGGTTTTCAAGTTTTTCCTTGGCTTCAATTTGTGTTTTTAAATCTGTCTGTGATGTTTACATTTACCATTTCATTTTTTCGGCGTGCAGAAAAATTGCAGTTGTCAATCTGGATCCTGCCAACGATGCATTGCCATATCCTTTTCAATTTTTTCATGTTTTGTTGTTCATAATTTTGTTGTGTGATTAATATAAGGAAGCCCCTATAAGATTTTGGTTTTTTTTTGTGGGTTTTTAAGTTTTTTCATGGCTTCAGTTTTTGTTTTTGAATCTGTCTGTAATGTTTGCATTGACCATTTCATCGAGTTGTCAATTTGGATGCTGCCAATGATGCATTATCGTATCCTTTTCAGTTTTTTCATGTTCTGTTGTTTGTAATTTACAGTGTTGCATTGTACTCTAATGCAGAACGTTGAGCCTTTACGTGAATTTAGTTATGAACATTCTGTCAACATGGAGGATCTTATAACTCAGAGATGTGATGGTGGAGCACGCTCTTGGTTCCAATGGAGGTTAGTGTTCTTATTGAATCTATAAAAGTTCAATACTTGGGTAAAGTAAAGAGTGGAAATTGTTTGGTTTGGGAATGAAGAAGGAAAACGATGGAAAGATAAGAAGTTATTGGACTCTCGAATTTTTATTTCGAAAATAGGTGACAATTTGGAGAAGTTAGATGGTAGGAACAATGGGTACCAACGTAACAAGAAATCCATGTTAAAAGGTGTGATGCTGGAGCACTCTCTTTTGTGCTGTTTTACTTACAGGTGTGTTTTTTGTTTTTCTTATTTAGAAAGTTTGATTTATCTGTCTAACGTATTCTTTTCAATTTTTTCGTGCTTTGTGAATAGTGATTCACAATTTGCATTCCATTCCAATGTAGACGTTGAGCGTTTTTATGAATTTAGTTATAAACATGCTGTAAACATGAAGGATCTTATAAAACTCAGCAATGTGATGATCAAGCACTCTATTGGTCCCAATCAAGGTTAGTTTTCTTTATTAAATGTATAACAGTTCAATGCTTGGGTAAAGTAAAGAGTACGAATTTTTCACTTTCAAAATGAAGAAGGAAAATGATAGAAAGATAGACCTCCTATATCATTTTGGTTCTTGGTTTGTTTTCAATTTTTTCCTTAGCTTCTCTGATTTTCCTTTTTAACTTTATTTTTGTTTGTTTGGTTGGGTGATGCAAGTTGATCAGATTCGGTTCAATGGAATAGTCCCTGAAGCAACAAGAAGGAACTGACTGCTGGTTCCAACATTTGTACAAAATTCTATAAAATATCAGTTATGCAAATTTATAGTTGTATTCTTATATTTTAATGATATAACAATTTGCTTTCTCACCAAAAATAGAAAAAGAAACATGATATTCCAATTTAGGTGCCGACACAGGGCATCCTTTTTTTTAATATTATTTTGCAACTTTGCAACCGATGTGAATTAGGGTGGCAATGCAGGAAAGGCACCAATGCAATATTGGTAGCCATTGTTACAATAGAGTCCTCTACACAGACCACCCGCTCTAATTTGGTGGTTGCTTGGTAGCCATTGAAGTTTGCCACCAATGTGAGTGGCTACATGCCACAATAGGCACCAATGAAAAGGGTGGCTTTTAGCCAAATTTCTAGTAGTGTATCACCCCCATCATTACTTACCTATATATACAGCACAGACTCCCCAAGCCAGACATGATAAATTCTCTACAATGCAATTGCTGTTTGTTTCTCCCATTTTTCTAAATTAGTGATTATAGCAGTATTGGATTTTAAGGAGAAGAAATTGAAATATATGACCTGATTGTTTCTGTTTTTCTATTTTTTTTTCTCCTCCCTTTTAAGAGAATGTGGAATAAATAGTTTGATGCATGACTATTTGGTCAAAATTGCGCTTCCAAATCTTATTTTCTGTTTTCAGGTTGAGGAGTAGAAACTGTTACTTTAGGAGATGGAGAAGCCAAATCTAGAAAAATGTCAGAAATCCATTCTTGAAAGACAAGCATCTCCAACATTTGAGTTCTTAATTGAGATGAGACAGAGGCACTATTGGGTTACACATCGGGTGTGTAAATCAACTTCCATCCTCGCTTTAAAATTTAATCTCAGGTATTATTGTACTTGAATATGGATTGCTAAAACCGTACACAAAATTCAATTGCAGAAGTTAATGTAGGGGAACTTTATAAGTATTTGTTTCAACATCTCTATCCCCTTGAAAAGTACCAAGTATCATTCTTTTTATGTCTCTGTCTAATTATATGTTTGGGTCTATCGCAGTTTCTTCTTGAATGTAAACCTCGCTGCTAGAAATGACTGGTTACATGTATAGACACGAGCGCATAGTGTTTTTCAGACAGTTACTGGCTAGTGTTAGCGTTGGATGGAAATCTAATTCTTAAAAGGTTAAAGGCTTAGAGTTAGAGGCTGTAAGTAAATGACATTTGCTCTATTTATAATTATTCAATTTTCACCATATTCTAACCCTTTGGATGGAAATCTAATGGTTCAACGGACAACTATCTCTCTCTCTTTCTCTTCATATAATATTTCTTTCTTTTTCCCTTCACTATCATCCGGCAGACAGAAAAGAGTGTAGATCTTTTGCTGCGGGGAAAAATCCCACAGGCCGAGGTAATTTTCTCATGCTGTATATTCCGACATCTAGTGGATTTAATTGGAAGTTCCGTTTCGAATATGGAAATTTACTCTTTCCTCCAGGGTTTTACATGATTGTAACTCTATAGCATAAAAAATTTTACAGCAAACAAATTCAGATTAAATCAAGATGCATAATTACTTATTTCTTATCACATGATCAATTTTTATTTTGCTGGTATATAAGTAAGAAATATATATATATGGTTTGCTCAAAAAAGTGAAACCTATATGACCTTAAAGCATACATCATTCCATAACTTCCCATTTATACATTGAGGCTAAACCTGGTTAATTCTTGTTAATAATTTTATTAATTTCTTATTAGCATTTCTTCATTGTGCCCCAATAATGATCCATCTTTGGTACGCCAAATAGCCTTTGATCTGTTAATGACAACTTCATTTTCCTTTGTCAACCCAAAAATGTCATATTCCATGGCTTTTATACTTAATTGAGCATTCAATTCATAATTTGCTAGGACGAGGACAATATGTTTTCTTTTTAGCAGCCTAGAGTTGCTTGATCATGTTGCAACTGTTTTTTTTTTTTTTTTGTCTTCCGAACCACAGCGTTTCTTTTTGCCCTTCTTTCTGATTTTCTCTCAAGTTGTCTGGCTAAATCTTTAAAGATTTTTGTTTTGCAGGTTAGGGCAAGGGATAAAGAGTTGAAGGTTGTAACAGAAAGATCAAAGGCATACGACCAGTGTGATGCTTACTATGTGCTTCATTTTCTCGAGGTCGATGATTTATCTATTTGTTTAGCTTTCTGTCTATTATTGTTAGCTAGGAACATAACACTTAGAGTTGTCATTTTCTTAGTCAAAGTTCAAAAATCAAATTTGCGGAAACCCTTTGCATTGCTTTTTCGTTAAGGCCAGAAGGGTTTTCTAACTGGAAAAAGAAAAGAAGTGGCCAGAAGAGCCTTTTGCAGATGTATATGTGCTCTTTTGCAAGCGCTCAAGATGAGACTGGTTAACTTGGCTAGTTTCGTATATATTTTCATAATTTTCATTTTATTTTATTCTGAAATCCTGAATTTGAATTTGTGGTGCACTTTATCCTACTGTTTTAGTCTCCAACATTATCACACGTAACATATGCGCTTGTGTTATTCATTGTCTCATCACAAACATTGGTCTGTATTGTTCATCCAGCATTACTAGTCTTTCTTGAAGCTGTGTTTGTGCGCGCGCGAGCACACGCGTATGTGCGTTTAAGATGAGATAGGAGCCTAGGACAGAATTACGACAAGAGAACTTTAGAGATGTGTATGTAACCATGTAGGTATGGATACATATATACATGTACATGCAATGCACATCTCTCAGATAAAAACACAGGAGGCGACGTAGGAATTGGGCAGGCTTTGGACCCTTTGGTTGGCCGGCATGTTGTCGCATGCATATTTTAGGACATTTTTTAACCTTTCATACTTTTGTGCTAAAAATATGTGATTCTCTCTCTCTCTCTCTCTCCCCCCCCCTCTCCCCCACCTAACTAGTTTAATCAGTATTTAATCATACAAACTAGTTCAGGTTTGTCCCTTTCCAGTATGGCACTGTGAATAGGCAAATGATAAACACAATTTTTTTTTTCTTGTGCATTCTTTTGTTTAATTTTGCATGTCGCCGTTTGATTTATTTAATTGGTCAACTCAAGAATACAGAGGAATGTGTGTGAGTGGCTAAAAATTGTGTGAAAATCAGTCTCTAAAAAGAATATGGTAATTAAGCAAGTATTTTACTTGGTTCAACTTCCAAATTTTTATTCAATTGCCGGCCGCATGCATGTCACCCTTACATTGATCTCTTCGTCTGTTTGTCCTGAATGTATCACGTAATTATTCTCATATTTTTTTTTCTTCTTCATTAAAATTTAAAATCCACCTCTTTTGTTTCTTTTGGATCCATATGCATATATACAGCTTCAAAAATTGAATAAGGAACCGATCTAGGTAGCAACTAAACATGGCAGAAAGAAACCGATACACGATTCAATCCCCTCTCTTGTTTATTATGTGCCTTCTCGTTCCTTGTTTAGCTGAATTTCCTGCGGACCAAATCACTTTTTGTTTGACGCTTCATGACATCAACAACTTTACCACATTCCCTAACACGGAAAATGAGTCTGCAGCTTACTACAAGCTGCTCAACTTTTCCATCCAAAATCTTCGTTTCGCTGATCCTGCCCTTCCTAAGCCAGTAGCCATCATACTTCCCGAGAGCGTTGAGCAGCTAGTAAACTCTGTGTCATGCTCTAGACAAGGGTTGTTGGAAATCAGAGTAAGGAGTGGTGGACACAGCTACGAAGGGACATCATCCGTTGCTGTAGATGGAGCTCTGTTTGTGATCATCGACATGATGAACTTGAACGGTGTGTCGGTGGATTTGGAAACGGAAACTGCATGGGTGGAAGGAGGTGCAACGCTTGGTGAGACATACCATGCGATTGCCCAAGCAAGCAATCTTCATGGGTTCTCAGCCGGGTCATGCCCAACTGTAGGCGCTGGAGGCCATATTGCTGGTGGTGGATTCGGCCTCATGTCGAGGAAATACGGACTTGCAGCCGATAACGTGGTGGATGCACTACTTGTTGATGCAAACGGACAACTGTTAGACCGACAAGGCATGGGAGAGGACGTGTTTTGGGCAATTAGAGGAGGTGGTGGGGGTGTTTTCGGGATTGTCTATGCTTGGAAAATCCAGTTGTTGAATGTGCCACAAGTCGTAACTGCTTTCGTAGTGTCTAGAGCTGCTTCTGCTGCTGCAGGAGGAGGAGGCAACGAAATCTTTAATCATAATGTAGCAAGGCTGGTAGACAAGTGGCAACACATCGCACCTTACTTGGAAGACGATTTCTACATTTCGTGCTTTGTCGGCGCTGGGTTGCCAGAGGTCAAGACTACTACTGTTACTGCTACTAGTAGTACTAATATATCAGCTACGTTCAAGGGGTTTTATCTGGGTCCAAGAAGCAGCGCCATGTCCATCCTAAACAAAGTTTTTCCTGACTTGGGTGTTGCAGAAGAAGATTGCGCAGAAATGAGTTGGATCGAGTCCATCGTGTTCTTCTCCGGCCTAAGTAAGGGAAGCTCGGTGTCCGACTTGAGAAATCGATATCTGCAAGGCAAGGGATTTTTCAAAGCGAAATCGGATTACGTTAGGACCCCAATTTCTTACAGAGGGATAAGGGCAGCCCTGGAAATACTTGAGGAGGAGCCGAAAGGGTACGTGATTTTAGATCCTTATGGTGGGGTTATGCATGATATAAGCAGCGAAGCCATTGCATTTCCTCACAGAAAAGGTAACCTCTTTACAATTCAGTACCTGGTGGAATGGAAAGAAGAAGATAACCACAAAATAAATGACTACATAGAATGGATAAGAAGATTCCACAATGCAATGACAGAGTATGTTTCGTGGGGTCCTAGGGCTGCTTATATCAACTATGTTGACCTCGACCTCGGAGTGATGATGCGGCAGCAGTTTCCTTTAAATAATAATTTGGTTAAGGATGATGAATCTGACGCTGTGGAAATTGCCAGGAATTGGGGTGAAAAGTACTTCCTAAATAACTACGACAGATTGGTGAGAGCAAAAACACTTATTGATCCAACCAACGTTTTCAGGAATCAGCAAGGGATTCCTCCGATGTCGTCGTCTTCGTCTTTAGTGGTGCTCGATCATTAGGCGCACGTACGCATGCAACGCAGCTGAGTGGTACGTACGTTGTGCGTGGTAGATATGTTATGTCTGCATAGTGCAATTTGTGTGTACATGCTGATATGCTAGTACTACTATACATATACATATACATACATATATATATATATGTATATGTATAGTGTATTAGCTAGCATGCAGCTGCAGTAGATGAATCAATATACAGGATATTTCCATCATTGGTCTATAACATACTTTTGTGATAGTCTGTTTGTACTAAAATTTGACACACTAGTACATAACAGCATATTTACCACATCAATTCCATCACGGGCATCAACAGCTCGTGGTAGAACTATTTAATTACCACGGTTAAATGTAGCTCGTGGTAGATAATATTAATTCACCATGGTCAGATTTTGGCCCGTTGTTAAAAGTGAATAATCTACAACGATTTTTAATTTCGTGATGTAATATCAAAACCACCACACGATATGCTCGTTGTGGTTACTTCAAACAACCACACCGCCTTTTCAAAATTCACCACGCCATCGGCCCGTGGTGGATGTTTTTTTTTTTTTTTTTTTATAAATATTTTGGAGGATATCATATATACTAAAACTCAAACGGGAAGGGTACTGTGGATGACCAGTGGGTGGACCATTTTCCCCTGGATTTTTGGATTTGGATGTTATTTTGGAATTGGAATTTGGATGTTATTTTGGATTTGGAATTTGGATTTGGATAATAATATTAATATGTGCTGCTGGGCACAATCTGTGCTTCAATACTCCCCTAATATGTGCTGCTGCAGTGCACTGCAGTGCATCCTCAATTCTTGAAGACAGCTCCTGTGAGTGTATGTGCTGCTGCAGTGCTGTTGTGCATTGCAGTGCAGCGGCTGGAGCCTTTTTTTTTATTATAAAAATGATGTATATAAGAGAGTTGCAACCCGTGCCCACCCCTAGTATCAGAGTCCCAATAAACTTTTAATTTTATGGCTATAAGAGAGTCCCAATGATAATATAATTGTAAAACAATTAACATAATAATAGTTAATATTTTTTTTATTGGAAAGAAAACTTAATTAAAAACCCACGATGCCAACAAACTGCCGTGCAAAGTTCCCACCACCAGTCGCTTGCAGTTAATATTTGGCTATCCCTTCAATCCTTCTCTTCACATCGTTCTTTTTTACTAGGACGCAAAGATTATTCACTGATCTCTCTCTGTAAATTTGGTTTAAATTTTTAGGTGTCTATGGATTTTGATGGTTTGCCAGACGGTGACGAGATGCACTCAAGTGATGATGTGAATGAAGCAAAAAAGAGAAAGGGAAGAGGTCCAACAATGTTGGATTATAATGCTCTGTCAAAGGCCAAACAAATTGGTGTTCAATTCAATGACAAAGGACAACATTTTGGTGCTGGATCAGCGAGTTTGAGTTCGTCGGCAGGGATCCTTGCAAGACAACTAATACCAGTAACTTACGCAAGTTGGGATGAGGTTCCTACAATTTTGAAAGATAAATTATGGGCTGCTGTGAAGGTAAAAGTTATAACCGAAGCTGTGCTCTCATTTCCTAACTAGTTTGTTCTTCTATAATACATATAAAAAATCAATTATCTTTTTGATGTTAATAAAGATTCATGGTTAATGCAGCAAAAATACGATTTGGCACCCTGTCGTAAGAAGATATTATTAACACAAATGTCTGGGTGTTGGCGTACATACAAAGCCACGTTGACAAAACAAATAAGATCCCTTGATGATGGTCCTGATGCAATGGAACAAATGCAACTCTTGAAGCCTGCTAATGTTGAGAAACAAGCTGATTGGGACAAATTTGTTAAACATCGATGCTCTCCTGAGTTTGATGTAAGCTTGTTTGTATTAAATTTTAAATTAATGATTAGGTTTTCTATGCATGGATGTTGGTTAAATGAAGTTCCTTGTTATCTATTTTTCTTTGTTAGGCAATTAGTGAGAAGTTCAAAAAGTTGAAATCATTCCATACTCTCCCTCATGTGATGAGTCGTAAAGGATATGCACGCTTGGAGGACGAGCTGGTATGAACCTTTGTATATATTTTAATTTCATTTCAGTGACAACACACTTATACGAAGTTTAAATTATGGATTAATTAATAGAGAAACAAAGGTACACCTGAGGAGGATTTAAATAGAGTCAGTCTTTGGATAGCTGCTCGTACAAGAAAAAATGGTCAACCTGTAAATGAGATAGTGTCAAAGAAAATGGTACGAAGCTTCAGTTTGAAATTATCCTTGTGTTATTTTTTGTTCATTTTTCTTTTAATCTTGTAAATGATTTTTAAATGTATAGGATGACATTAAGTTGGCTAATGAAATGCCAACAACAGACAATGGTTCTATAAAAGATGATGCCTTATCACAAGCACTTGGACCTGAACATCGAGATCGACTTCGTGGAGGTGGTTATGGGGTTACACCTTCTAGATATGATGCCCAAACATATGCCAGCATGAGTAATCGAGAGCTTAGAGACCGATTACAAAATGTCGAAGGAAAATTGCGGGAAGTGTTTGATCTTGTGTTGGCTAAACAACAAAATGAGGTAATTATATATGCAACTTTGTATGTATTTATAAAATGATAAAAGATTTACGGCATGATTAATTTGTATATATAGTTAGAGCTTACTTGAGGGAAGCTAATGGTTCCACCGTAAATACCCACCAACACTGGATGAATATTTGTCAGCAATACTTGATACATCCAACTTTACCCTAGCAACCACATCTTTTATCGGAAAGGGAGATGTTTGTTACAAAAGACTCATTGGATTGGTTTTTTAGTGAGTACAAATAAAACAATAACGGTCTAAAAAATATATTCTAACTTTTAATCATATCGCTGCAGGGAAATGGTAAAGAAACTAATACCAATGATGCAATTCAAGTCTCCACAAATAGGCCTCAGGTAAAAATGTGTCATTAGTAAATATTGGTATTTTGTTGAATCTGAAATTGATCAACTTCTATTTCTTGCGTATTCACTAGTCGCAGGAAGGCTGTATAGATCTCCAAAGAACTAAGAATGGTGTAAAACAGGTTCCCAATTCCAGTTACCAGGTTTCCAGATCATCTCCCCAGGTATGAAACTGATTTTGTTTAACTTGTCTCGATGTCTTCATCATTAGATAGAAAGAAAATAGTGAACATGTTCAGTTTCAGGCTTAGTTCGTCTATGCAGCTAATAGTTTCTTTGCATCTATCTTGTTATCAGTTGTTTCTTTTGATTTTGATTATTTGCATTTATCTTTTTATCAGTTACAATGTAATAAGAAAAGTGCACCAGAGGCTAACGATGGTTCTAGACACACTTCAAAAGCTAGTTCTCAGGTACATATATGATCCCAAGTATAGCACAGTGGAAATATAATAAGACATAGCAGATGTTGATAATTAGATTGTTTTTGTTTTGTTATTAGATACAATGTGATAGAAGAAGTGCACAAGAAGCTGACGATGCTTCTAGACAAGCTTCCAAAGCTAGTTCCCAGGTATACGAGAACAAGTACTAAATAGTTAGCTTATGAAACTTATGAGATTTTGATATAAACTGATCGAATTTTGTGTCTTCCATGTTTGGTTGTCACAGAGAAGTAGTCCAAACATAAAAAGAGACAACATTAAGAGAAAAGAAGGTTCTAAAGCCACTTCTCAGGTAGTAAACACATGCTTGATAATAATTGTTAAATAGTTTGATAACTTAATCATTTAAAATTGATGTTCTTATTTGATTTCTTTATGCTAGTTACAACCCGTTGGTATTTTACGAGGGTCTTCATGCAAGTTACTAAATTGGCTCGGAAATGGACAAGTTGTTGCAACTGGAGAAATAGAATCAACAAATCCTGAGGCGAAAGTTCATCACATGGTGCTTGGTCCTGATTGCTGGAAAGTTTGGGTAACTGTTGTCAAAGTGGAGAATATATCTTTGTACCGCCCTACAAGTGAATTTCGTGTCCTGGAGGATGTTGTGTCTAGTACAATTGCCTGGCCATCAAAGTACGTCCAAGTTGGAGAGTAATTTTAGTTCGTACTTAGACTAGAAAATGGTACTTTGACACTACATAGATAGTACTTTATGACTTTCGTTTATGTATTCATTAGGCACTACATGGATAATACTTTATGACTTCCGTTTATGTATTCATTTGGAAACTCAAGTATTTTTAAATTATGTTATAATATTATCAAGTATTTTTTATGTGCTTATTATATTGTAGTAAATCTGCAATTTTGTTGGTTATTCTATACTAAAATATATAAATACATATATATATATATATTTGTTAAATGATTTTTTTTTTAATTTTGGAAAATAATTTATAACGGGCATTAGCTGTGGTTAATTAGTAATCGACAACGGTCATAGCACGTGATGTTAGATCTCAATCTACCACGGGTACAATCCGTGGTTATATTGCAGTTGACAACGGGCATAGCCCGTGGTAGAAATTAAACTTTTAATCACATCCAGAATACTAAAGGGCATAGTGTCCGTGGTGGATTGCCATTTATCACGGGCATTAGCTGTGGTTAATGAGTAATCGACAACGGTCATAGCACGTGGTGTTAGATCTCAATCTACCACGGGTACAATCCGTGGTCATATTGCAGTTGACAACGGGCATAGCCCGTGGTCGAAAATTAGACTTTTTATCACATCCAGAATACTAACGGGCACAGTGTCCGTGGTGGATTGCAATTTATCACGGGCATTCACCGTGATAGATGAACTTTTTTCTTCTAGTGACACAAATTCACTTATTTGGGTCAAAGTCAAATTTTGGCATTTTGTGGGGGGTTTTTATGCAATTAGGCTAACTTGCAAGATATTTGGCTGCATAAGTTGGAAGGTTTGGCATCAAAATAATTTGTTTCCTTTTCATTTGGGCGGTGGAGTTGTGCCAAGTCCTTTGTTTAATCAACAAAATTGCATGCTTTCTCATTGCAAGTGGATTTGGACGGTGGAATTCATCTCCATAACGTGAAGTCGGCGACGCAACTTCTCTCAATTCTCTATATAAAGAAGCAGAGGCAAAAGGATTAAGTAGACTCAACCAATCAATCAAACAATTCAACTCAATTCAATACCCTGTTGTGCTATTTTTCCTAATAGTGTCGATTTCCTTATACTCTCATTTGCATTTCTATTGCCATTGTATTTACTTATTTCACTTACAGTATTTATATTTCTAGTCCAGTCACACTTACTCTCTTTACTTTCCTCTATCATATACACTCCCAGCAAACTTGCCATTACATACTGTTATATTTCTCCACATAAGTAAAGTTCTTATCATTAAGGAAAAGAAAGAACCTTGATTTGAGCCACTCCCACTCAATGACACAATCTCAATCATTCAAATCCCATCTACTAGTGGTAATTAGTAGTGACACGCTTGCAATCACCAATTTCCTGTTCAAGTAAATTCCCTGTCTACCCACGAGGCCCATGACGAATTTAGGGGGTGAACAAATTGGCATGCTCGGTGGGACACTTTTAAGGGGTGTGGTAGGTTCCATTGCACAGGGCCCCCAAAAATAGTTTTTTATTGAATATAATAATATATAAAATATTAATCAAATCAATATATATATATATATATATATATATATATATATCTGATGGGGCGGAAAGCCTGCCCCCAAAAGTAAATTTTTAATAATATATGACCGATTCCCATCACTATGCCGTTGCTTCCTATTTTTCTTCTCTCATGCCAAATCCCATCGCTGCTCCCCATTTTTCTTCTTTCACACAACAGTTCCAGACGTCAGAATCTCTCGCCAGTGTCTAGTTCACTTTACTTCTCTCTTCCAATTGTTTTTTTTTCCCACAAATTATTAAACCCTAATTTATAAGTTCTTGAAATCTAAGAGAAACTTCCGAATCATGAAGACAATTCTACTGATTAGAATGATGTAGACTTCAATTAAAATAAGATATTTACTAATTTAAGTATATTGACTTGGAATTTGAAGATTTGGGTCTTTCTCATTTATAATAATTTTTTTCTTTTGTACTTTTCAAGGCAAAATCAAGAGGAGAGCAGTCACAAAAAACCACTAGACGCACACGTATTGCGGACTATCAGGTTTTATTGTTCATACTTACTATAATTTTATTGTGATTTTATTTGAGATATAAAAGATGACACCTACTAGAAAATATCCATCTGGCTACTTGAAGTATCAAAGAAAAAGAAAAGTTGAACAATTGACTCAGTCTATTACCGTTGCATCTGTGGAAATGAGTTTCTCAAAGTTAAAGTTATTAAAATCGTACTTGCGGTCAACTATGTTGCAGGAAATGTTAAATGGACTTGCTTTGATATTGATTGAAAGTGATTTTTAAGAAAAAATTGACTATGAAGGTTTAACTGATGATTTTGCAGCAAAGAATGCACGAAGAGCTTTAAGTGAAACTTCAGTGCCAGACTTTTTTAAGTTTTGTTTATTTGGTTTCTTTAGATTGAACTTATTGTTAGTTATTAGTACTATGGTTACTTTGTAACTTTCTTTACATTTAATAATATTTAGAAATAGATGGTTAGTGAGTTTTAAAGTTTATTTCGATATTGCTTTTTAGCATCAATACATTATTCAATTTTTTTTAAGATGTCTTATAAGAAGGGCCCCTTTTATGAATTTCGCATAGGGCCCCCGAAGTCTCAAAGACGGCCCTACTTATGGCTACGGTGAAAGTTTTTATTTTGATAACAAACACATTCATAGAAACTATGATAGGCTAACAAATGGCTTTGAGTATCAAAGTGTTGCCAATGAGTACATAGAGCAAAAATATGAGATCCCAACTAATGGTCATCCGGACGAAGAGCTCTACAATGAGGATATGGGCAAGTTAGCGGAGAAGTTGTCCAAACTCCATGTGGCAAGCACCAAATATGGTGAAGAGGCGACCAAGTGTTTAGAAACGATGGAGGAGAGCTACACAACTTTGGAGAAAACTATGCAAAAGTTAATAAATCAAATGTGTAAAATTCCCTTCATAAAACAAACTCTTTCTCCCACCACCCAAGAAGAACAAATTCTACTTATTGATGAAGGCCACTCAATGAAAATCCATGAAAATGGAAATGGTTGGAATGTAAAAATGTCAAGTTTGTACCCGATTAGGCATTATCGGTTTGTTTCTCATATTTTTGTAGATATTACTATTGGATTATTGTAGTAATTGTCTTGTGAAAATATTAAAATGAGCTTGAAGAGTGTAGATTGAAATCAAGGACTTTTCTTCCTCTTGGGTCTGTTCGGGATCCTCGTATTGAAGAGTTTTGAGTGTATTGGGAGAATATCTTCCAGTATTTCATGCACGTGGAGGATTTTAGAGTCCAGCCTGAAGAAAGCAGGTGATGATGGCGTAAAGGATAGGATCATAGTGCAAAGCGAAGATTGATGTGATATAGGTTCCCCATTATTTTTAAAAGAAAAGCCTAGATATAGGCTTTGTCCTATATTAGAGGATTTCAAACGGCTAAAGGATTTGGCATGCAGAGTGATTGGTAATAGAGATATAGTATTAGTGATTGTACACTTTAGATGTTGACACTTGTCTAAATCTTAGATAGGTATTAGGCAATTAGTTTGTTAGAAGCTAGTGAATTGTATAAGTACTTCATTCATGTAATAACTTCTTCACTAAGTAATCAATACAAAGACATAGCTTAAGCTTTCATCTCTCTCTCTCTGCAACATTGTTCTTACAACTTCATAGTATATACATTAACATGGTATCGATCGCCATTGAAGCTCGCAGCTAAAGCTTCGATCCAAGCCTTACGAAACTCTGATTTCTGCAATTTCGTCTTCTCTAAATCTTCGACTGCCGTTCAACGTATTTACTTGACATCTCTTTGTCTTCTTCAATTTCTAGCACATTGCAGTCAAGTTTCTACTTCTGTTTTCTTTGACTACTTCGATTCTTGCACATAAAGTGTTTGCTATATGTCTGTGAGGTAAAATCACAACTACAAAATTGTTGTGTTCTTGATTTTCCAAGGGAAAAATGGTTACCTCTTCTCAATTACAGTTGCTTCAATCGGCTATAACTGCACTTGTGTCTTCAATTTCTACATCTGTGAATGTTAAACTTGATGCTACGAATTATCTGAATTGGCATTTCCAAATGCAACTAATGTTGGAAAGTAATGGAATTATGGGATTTGTGGATGATTCTCATCCCTGTCCAACTCATACTTCATCTTTAATTGGAGAATCTAGTGTAAATTCCTCGAATTCATCTTCTTCCACAGATTGTGATGAATACTTAGTTTGGATGATGCATGATAAGACACTTATGCAGCTTATCGCTACTACATTATCTTCTGTGGCTATGTCCTGTGTTATTGGCAGCACTAGTTCTAAGGATTTGTGGACTTGATTAAAGGAGAAATTCTCCACTGTTTCTAAGACTAGCATATTTCAGATGAAGTGTAACCTTCAAAACATTAAAAAGGGATCTGATTCCACTACTCATTACTTGCAACGGATCAAGGAGGCTAAAGACTACCTCTTTGCTGCTGCGGTGTACTTTGCTGATGAAGATATTGTCATTCTTGCACTAAATGGATTGCCAGTAGAATACATTACTAAAGGGAAAATGTTATTTCATTGAAGGAATTTAGGTCTCATTTACTTGTGGAGGAAGTCATCGTTGTGTCCAATACAAATGCACCTTTTATAGGTATTGGAGGCGGGCTATGTGTTTTTCGGAGAGAGGGTGCAAGGATTTCGATTGTGAAAAACGATATTTATTTTATAGAACTTGGGGTCAGTGATTACATGGATCCTAAGAGTTGGCGGATGTTTGCGGTGTATGTAAGCACGGATGAGAAGAAGATGAGAGATCAATGGAAAAAGCTCCGGAAAAGAATAAGCTATGGACAGGAAGTGCCTAGTGATAAGAGATTTTAATGATATAGTTGATGACAAAGAAAAGGAAGGAGGTAATTACCGTTCCATGGCGAGCACAAAGGACTTAAGGGATTTTTTGGCATCTAACAGACTACTTGATTAGGGTCTTGAAGGCCACCCTTTTACGTGGAGGAATAAGAGAAATGATGGTCTGATTCA